GCAGCCATGTGGTAACCCCTGCCAGTGCTGAGATGCTTATACGTTCATTGATTCAGCTTTCCTCCTTCAGTCAGCATCATAGTGTGTGTTTTGTGAGATGGAGGAAGACTTTGTGGATTGGTGTCAGACATATGGGTTAATGTTGGACTTGGGCAGCACTGGGTTGGGATGTTTTCTTTATATGCACTTAACCTTTATATAAAACTCTCTCTTATACACGAGTGTCTGTGGATTTGTTTCTCTAGTCTACACAGACTAACACAATTGAATAAAAAATTTACATTATAATCAATATATTAACAAGCACTCTAGCAAAACTGACTTTTTTTCTGCCCCTGTGCTGCTGTATTTAAGCAGTGCTTGAAAGTGCATGTGCACATTCCCATGCCATATGCCATTTGATTATCACAATGATTCTGGCAGGCAGAGAATGTATAAAATGTATGTGAAAGCACATATTTAGGGTCAATATTTTTTGAAGACCTGAGTTTCTCAGATGGTCAATATCTGAGTGAACTTAGGTCCACAATTTTTGTTTATTCTATCACTGTTTAAGAACAAGTTTATTAGCAGAAAAATATGATCCCATTATCTGTAGCTAATGTAAAATCAAAACTTAAAGTACCAGGTTGCGTGAAAAGCAAACAAAAGCTCAACACACAAAATATTGTATTGTTGTACTAAACTTACTCAAAGAGCTACAGTCTCAGAAACTCGCCCGGGCAGCTCTCCCCTGTCCTAGCACGGTGAGTTGGCATCAACTTGTTGGCAGTGAGTTTTGTTTTGCTTCTGGACGAAGCTTAGTCAGCAATATTCTGAGCTTTCTGTTTCATGAGTATGTGTGTGGGTGTCCTTTGGGATTACAGATACCAACGACTCGAGGAAATATATGCAAACTAAAGAATTGTATGTCCTGCCAACTTAGAAAAGCAGCATTGCCCAGCTGTGGAGGTGGAAGGCCGTACTCTACTTCCTGATCCTGGGTGCGGGACTGGAGGCTGTCTGCCAAGAAGGGAAGGGACACTCAGATCCTTCCTCGGACTGAAGCCCGAGATGGTCATTTTGTTTGAGGTATGTCACCTTTGGGTTGCGGTGAATACTAATGTAGAAATGGCCCTCAGAGAGGTGGATTTCTGAGTCTAGGATAAAGCTCAGAAGGAGGCCCAAGGTAGAGTCCTGAGAAGATCCCACATTTAATGGGCGGGGACAAGGAGAGTTCATGAAGTGAGAACTGGGGGAAAGCTAGTTTCTGAAGAAATACGACGATGAAATGTCTTCTCTTTTCATGAATATTCCCTCTTGTGCAGCATGATCATCATTACTACCCCCAGAAAATATTTCCGAGATAGCTCTGGTGCTGGTTTCGTTGTCGTTAGGTGCTGTCCAGCGGCTTCCGACTCACAGCGGCCCTATGCACACCAGAAAGCAATACTGCCTGGTCCTGTCCCATCTTCACAACGGTTCCTGTGCCTGAGCCCCTTGCTGCAGCCACTTTCAATCCATCTTGTGGAGGACCTTCCTATTGTTCACCGCCCCTCCGCTGTGCCACGTAGGATGTCCTTCTCTAGGGACGTATCTCCCCGATAACGTGTCCAAAGAGCTGGAGACGGAGTCTCGCCACACACTTGCCTCTAAGGAGCATTTTGGTTGTACTTCTTCCAAGAGAGATCAATGGGTTCTTTGGGTTAGAGTGTTAGGTGCTTTTTAATATACAAAGACACTGTGGACAAGGTCCCTCCTCTGAGTGAGCTTATGGTAGAGCTAAGCGTTATGACACATCTACTGGGAAACGTAACTGTTGAGATAGGTAATGGGATGAGAGCTAATAAGCGATGCAGATATAAAATGCCACATGGATTCTACGGCGAGGCTATGGGTAGGGAAGCACTTGTCTGGAACAATCTGGAAGGCATCCTGGCGAACATGGAAGCGGAGTTAGCTTTTGATTTTAAAAGGCAGAGAGACATAAAGATATGATTTGAAGTAAGGACTGGGAAAGGGAGGAGTTCTGATCCTAAGGAAAATCAAACACACAATCAGAGGACACAATGCGGGTTATTAATTGATCTTTGAGCAGGGAGAGTGCAAAGCTTTAAAGCACGACTGTGAAGGCGGAGGGAGAAAGATAGAAGGAATCTTCCTAGTTCTTACCAGGCGTGATCAGATAATATGGTATCTTTAGTAGCAAGCAGTTGGCACATCGAGTGAGAATTTGGTTGCGCTACATTACAATGAAGGTGAAGGTGGAGCATTGGTGCGAAAACAATCAGCCAATCACTGGATATGTGGTTCTGAGTTTGGGATAAAAGTTGGAAGTCAGCCCAAGACAAAACGTGCAGGAGCTCACATTTAAAAGATAGGTAAAAGGAGAGTTTGTGACAGAGAAAAATCATTTAGAAGAGGATTGCTCTCAAGGATTCAAGGAAGTCAAGGTAAAAACAGAGAGATGTCACCAGCATCCATTGTCCCAGGAAGGCTGAGGAGAATACTTATGGAGAAAATGGGCCAGATTGCGTACGGTTGTGAAAGAAATTTGGACTTTTTTCTCCAGCAGCGCAAAGCCCTGGAAGTTTTGTGAAGAAGGAACTGACACAATGAAAGCAGTGATTTAGGAAGATTCATTTGCAAGAGGTGTTCTGGATGGATCGGAGAAGACACGGCCCGGAGGAGGCGGGCATGAAGGTGATGAAGGAGTCAGAGATACTGGAAGGTTGCTAACCTGGATGATGGAAAGAACGTTGCTGCCGGACAGAGACGAATGACGATCAGAATGTTATGACACAGAACAAAGGGATCTGTAAAGAACCGGGCGCTTACGTGGTGTCTGTTTCTTTCTATCTTACTTAATTTGAGGCTGTATTCAAGGTGCTCAGTGAATACTGAAGTATCGGACTGAATGAGAATATTGATTATAGTAGAGGGAGGCAAGTTCTGCGGTATATTGAGAGCACTGTTCGTAAATATAAAGTGACTTTTTTGCAGTGTTTCCTCGTTGACAGACGTAATGAATATATTTTTTGACGGCAAAAACAATCTCATTGAATTCTAAATTTATAATATGAAAAGAGTATAGGATCAACTTTGATAGGATCACACCAATTTCTATTTTGGGCTTCCCAATCTTCTGCAAATCATGAGAATTTCTGTCTGGCCGGGGAGTATCTTGAATCCAAACTTACAGGGCAGAATATTTATTTAGATGTTTTTAATGTAATGCTTCTACTTTTGGAAAACTGGATGAAA